ACAAGATATTATAAGCACAGTAGGAAATGCCAACACAAAGTATGAAAATTTCACTAAGAATGCTTTTTTCTTGACTGCCCTATTGAAAAAAAATTTTTTTTTTAAGTTTTACTCTAACTGTTACTAACCTGAAGCAATAGTTAGAACTGGACATGGAACAACAGACTGGTTCCAAATAGGAAAAGGAGTATGTCAAGCCTGTATATTGTCACTCTTTAACTTATAAGCAGAGTACATCATGAGAAACTATGGGCTGGAAGAAGCACAAGCTGTAATCAAGATTGCTGGGAGAAATATCAATAACCTCAGATATGCAGATGACACCACCCTTACGCAGAAAGCGAAGAACTAAACAGCCTCTTGATGAAAGTGAAAGAGGAGAGTGAAAAAGTTGGCTTAAAGCTTAACATTCAGAAAACTAAGATCATGGCATCTGGTCCCATTACCTCATAGGAAATAGATGGGGAGACAAGGCAAATAGTGTCAGACTTTATTTTTGGGGGCTCCAAAATCACTGCAGATGGTGACTGCTGCCATGAAATTAAAAGATGCTTACTCCTTGGAAGGAAAGTTATGACCAACCTAGACAGCATATTAAAAAGCAGAGACATTACTTTGCCAACAAAGGTCCATCTAGTCGAGGCTATGGTTTTGCCAGTGGTCATGTATGGATGTGAGAGTTGGACTGTGAAGAAAGCTGAGTGCCAAAGAATTGATGCTTTTGAACTGTGGTGTTGGAGAAGACTCTTGAGAGTCCCTTGGACTGCAAGGAGATCCAACCAGTCCATCTTGAAGGAGATAAGTCCTGGGTGTTCATTGGAAGGACTGATGCTGAAGCTGAAACTCCAATACCTTGGCCGCCTCATGCGAAGAGCTAACTCATTGGAAAAGACCCTGATGCTGGGAGGGATTGGGGGCAGGAGGAGAAGGGGATGGCAGAGGATGAGATGGCTGGATGGCATCACCGACTCGATGGGCATGAGTTTGAGTAAACTCCGGGAGTTGGTGATGCACAGGGAGGCCTGGCGTGCTGCGATTCATGGGGTCACAAAGAGTCGGACACGATTGAGCGACTGAACTGACTGACTGAACCTGACACTATGTAAATTACATCCCACACCTACCACCCCTTAACTGTATGCAAATTACATCCTGTACCTGGGGCTTTCCTTCCTGGCACTCCTTTTGCAGACCTTGTCAGGCAGTTCAGTCGCTCCAGTGAATGTAATGAAATTAATGAATACAAGCAGACCTTATAGCTTCCTGCATTTCAGAAAGTAGGCCCAGTAGGATGCGCATACAAGACTCCCTACTTTGTTCTTTATCACTTACCCCAGACTTGGAGCCCCATCTATAGGGTCCCCTCAGATTCCCCCTGTGGGGAGGTGGGGGTAGGGTTGTGGGAGAACCACGGTTCTTGAGGCAGAAGCCTGCTGCGCTCTCTCTCGGCTTGCCCGGCTGAGGATCAAAAGGGCCTTTCTACTTCCTCCGGACTTTGTGTTATTTATTTGGCACCAGAGGGCAGAGAGGGTCAAGATTTGGGTGGTAACATTAGTGGCTTGAGTACTTTAGAAAAGAATGCAAAAACAGAAGAAATTAAATTTTCAAGAGAAATCAAAAGGACTGAGTTCTAACACTGACCGAGACCGCTGCTGGCCGCTTCCTAAAGAGACTGTTGAGGGCATGCCTGTACAAAGTATCTGCTGAACCCTAGACTCAGGCGTTTCTCAATCTCAGTCAAAAATCACCCTGTCTCCTGTGTAGCATGGAGCAGGGAGCTGGCTGAGTGAAGGGGGCCATTTAAGGCTGGCATGCATGGCTGAGATGCAGGTGGCAACCATGCCTGTCCAGAGTTAAAGGGCCTGCTCTCATTTCCCATGCACTGCTTACGCATTTCAGATCCTCACAAACTCCAATAATGAATGAGACTAAATCTCCTCAAATCCAAGCAGAATGAACAGCTCAGAATCCTGTAATTTTATTTAGAGAAAAAGATAGATAGTATGGCATATCTACATTTACTGATCAAGACTGACACCTACTCTGTGGAACCATGTTGGGGGTTGCTAGGAATCCACATTCAGTGCATGTCTGCACCAAGGCCTGGATACCCCAAAATCACAGCCAACCCAGCAGTTTTAAAACGAAAACCTTGTGCTTGTTAAGGAACTGGCAATAGAACTAGTTGTGGATTTACTGATGGGTTTTTTGATATGGGCAATGTATTATGATGATGTTGAGTTTAATGTAATTCTACATACTATTTTTAAATCCTTAGTTACTGAGTAGATAAAGGAAGAAAGAGAAATGGAATCTTATTAGTTTGTTGAGCAGATTAATTTTTCCTATGAGGATTTCTAGAAAGAGAAGAACAGGGGAGGTAGATAAGTCATTCTTCTTAAACTCTGGATTTAAAGGAATGAATCAATGAAACAAAGTTAAAAAAAAAAAACTTCATGGAGAGGAAAGCACACACACAAATTAAAACCTAATTGTTGAGTGATTAGATGGTGTGAAAACTATACAGGATATGAAGACTCCTAAATTTTCCTGGATTGGGTTACTATTGACAGCTATTAGCACAGTGAAACTGGAGAGAAGCCTAAAAATGAGATTAAGCAGCAAGGTTTTGGGGGAACAAGTTGACCTGGAAGATCCTACAGGATTCCCAGAAGGCACTCCCCAGTAAACAGTAGAGAGCTGAGTCTAGGACCCAGGTAGCAAATCTTCCCTCACCTTATTTGGGAAAGTAAGTCAGGCCAGACATGTTGACTTAGAGCTGTGTGCTCGCGAGAAGATATGGAGTAGCAGGAAGAATCCTGTACTCAAATCAGGAGATCTGATCCACTCAACGGCCTCATCATGGTACTCTTCCTCTCAGGGCCTCACTTCCTTTTTTTCTTTTCCAAATTGATTTCCATGGAAACTTGAAGTACATGGTAGAAATGTTAATACTCTTGAGCCTTATATATCTTCCATTTAAGTTACCTTTTTTAAAAAAAAATCTGCTTATTTATCATTTGCCTCATAAAAGTACATTTGAGTGTGGAAAAAGTTCCCTTTTTAAATCTGACAACAATAACAAAAATGACAAACCTAGACAGTGTATTAAAAAGCAGAGACATCACTTTGCCAACAAAGGTCCATACAGTTGAAGCTATGGTTTTTCCAGTAGTCATGTATAGATGTGAGAATTGGACCATAAACAAGACTGAGTGCCAAAGAATTGACACTTTTGAACTGTGGTAATGGAAAAGACTCTTGACAGTCCCTAGGACAGCAAAGAGATCAAACCAGTCAATCCCAAAGGAAATCAGTCCTGAATATTCATTGGAAGGACTGATGCTGAAGCTGAAATGCCAACATTTTGGCCACTTGATGCGAAGAGCCAACCCACTGGAAAAGACTCTGATGCTGAAAAAGATGGAGGGCAGGAGGAGAAGGGGGTGATAGAGGACGAGATGGCTGGAGGGTATCACTGCCTCAATGCACATGAGCTTGAGCAAACTCTGGGAGATATGAAGGACTGGGAAGACTGGTGTGCTGCAGTCCATGGGTCACAAAGACTTGGACACAACTTAGCAACTAAATAACAACAACAAAAAGCTTGAAGACCACAGATCCAGATGTTTGTTCTGGGACTCACCAGTTCTCACATCCTGTGAGTCATTGTTCTCATTTCTGTTACCTACTTAGAACATGGTACCTCTAAACAGATATTTCACTATAACCTGGAAAGATGACCATTTACTCCATTCAGAAAACCTTCTGGATTGCACTTCATTGTGGTATACATATTTCAAATGTTGATAAAGCCTTGAAATATATGTGAAATGTAAGTATTCAAATTTTTACAATAAACTAAAACTGTAGAATTCAGAGAGAAAAGAGGTGGTATTGGAAAATGAAAAGTATGAATGAGAGAAACATATCTTAAAAAATTAGAAACAAATACAGTCATTACTGGAAGATAGTAAGATCTGAAACTGGAAGATCTGGTTTCAGTGAAGATCACAATAGCTATCTATTTTGGGGAATTTGCTTATCTCCTCCAATCTCTGAATCTGTCCTTTGTGAATTTATTTTTCCTTTATATTAACTCTGTCTTCTGGAGAGCTGATGTGAAGACCACAAGAGATAATGGAGGTGAAAATGCTAAATAACTGAAAATCACTGGGCCTGTATTATTGAAAAAATACTGGTCATGTAGATAAACAGAATATTTATAGGTATGGGTGCAGGAGAATGGGTTACACACAATATCATGATATGATCTTAAAAGGCATGAGATAACGTGTCGAAGTATGGGTTTTTATTATAAATATCCACTTTAGTGACCGAAGTAGTATATCCTAGTTTTTTGTTTTTGTTTTTTTGAAGTATATGCCTAGAATTGGAAGGGACCAGCGCTCCTATTAAGAATGTGACTAAAAAGAATATACTTAATCTTTCTGATTTTGTTGTTTTATCTGCAAAATAGCAATAATACTCGCCTCCACATTTCATAAGGTTAATCATTTAACAAGCCTTCACAGAATGCTGTAAAGTGTGTTCATACTCTAGAAGAGCAAGGTTTATGGTGCTGTTAATGGTGTCTACTACAGTACATTTTAAAGAAATGTCCTCATCGCTTCTCTGAACTATTTCAACATTCTTGCTTCACAATAACCTTAAAAACCTTTTACATGCCATTTAAAAGTCTGTTTGCTATTCACTTCACCTATGACTTTATTTGTCCTCAAATATAGCCATGCCATTATACCTGCTGAGAGATCAAAGGATTATTATGGAAAATATCTGGTAGTTGGTACCAGGATGTAACTATTTCAACTGTCTGTTACTCAAGATAATAAGGAAGCTTTCTTTGAAAAATGAAAAGAAACAACCTTGCTTGGATTAACAGCCATTAGTCATTGCAATTTTAATGAGGGTTGGACCCTGCTCTGAGTATATATATACATGCATCTGTCAGACTGCTTTTTGTCTGTTTCTCTCTGAACTTCTTGACTCAGGGCAACGGCTCTCAAATATCCTCATTCATCATCACTATGAACTGCATCACTACTTTTGCCATCCTTGCTCTGGCAGCCATGACATGGGCTGCCACTCCATCTGGTGAGTTAGGATTCCTTTTCAATACTCATGCTCTTATGTTAACTGCAATATATCTGGCCTTCAGTAATTATAGAATATTAAGTGAAAGTGAAATACTGGAGTGGGTAGCCTTTCCCTTCTCCAGGGGATCTTCCCAACCCAGGGATCAAACCCAGGTCTTCCGCATTGCAGGCGGATTCTTTACCAGCTGAGCCACAAGGGAACCCCATACAATGTTAAAGTCAAAAGAAAATTTAGAAGGCATCTATTTAGATTGGTCTGATCAACAGAGTAGGGGTAAATCAGACCTTCAGGAAGACGAGGAGAGGCTGAGAAGAAAAGGACTGAGAACTTCCTGCTCAGTTCCTCATCAGATCTCTCAGGTTTCTGATTGCCCTTTTAGAAACCACCTATGTAACTCTGAGACCATAAGTCCAACTCTTCCTGGGCATGCCCACAGGATCTCCTGGATTCCTCTACATTTCCTTCTCCAGTGATCAGAGATTCCTGCCCCCAATCTCATCTTTTTTTTTGGTGGAGGCAGGGGGTCAGGATCATATTTCTCTGACTTCACGCTTAGCTGGCCCTGAGTAAAGAAGTGACCTCTTTTTGGTCTGGTCTGGGCAAGAGAAGTTGGGAAATGGGTTTTAGTTACTGTGAACAATGAATTCAGCTTTGCATTTCTAACTGTATAATTTACTATTTCTCTAATTCCTTCTCTCAAAATGCATCTCATCCTAGTCACTTCTGGTGATCGAGAAATAGGGATAGAGGTGAGTACCTTTTTGGCATGCTCTTTGTAAAAATGAAATCAGGGTGAATGTGTAAATGAGTAGTGAAGGTACCTAAATTGACTCACAGTGGGCTGAAATAATTCCGTGGGAGGTAAAAACTGTTTCTACTCTACTTTTCTGGTGGTGTTTCTTTAAAGGAATCTCTGTGCAAAAGGAGAACAGGAGATAAAGGAAGCTCTTACCTTTAGGTAGTATTTTATTTTACTTTAAAAAAATTTTTTATTATTTTTTCTTTAAATTTATTTATTTTAGTTGGAGGCTAATTACTTTACAATATTGTAGTGGTTTTTGCCATACATTGACATGAATCAGCCATGGGTATACATGTGTTCCCCATCCTGAACACCCCTCCCACCTCCCTCCCCATCCCATCCCTCTGGGTCATCCCAGTGCACCAGACCTGAGCACCCTGTCTCATGCATTAAACCTGGACTGGTGATCTGCTTCACATATGATAAGATACATGTTTCAATGCTATTCTCTCAGATCATCCCACCCTGGCCTTCTCCTATGGAATCCCAAAAACTGTTTTATACATCTGTGTCTCTTTTTCTGTCTTGCACATAGGGTTATCATTACTATCTTTCTAAATTCCATATATATGTGTTAGTATACTGTATTGGTGTTTTTCTTTCTGGCTTACTTCACTCTGTATAATAGGCTCCAGTTTCATCCACCTCATTAGAACTGATTCAAATGTGTTCTTTTTAATGGCTGAGTAATATTCCACTGTGTATATGTACCACAGCTTTCTTATCCATTCATCTGTTGATGGACATCTAGGTTGAAAGTATTTTTCACATTCATTATTCTACTGGACTCTCATTACAACCTTAAAAAAAAAAGAGAGAGAGACTAATATTTCCTGCTTAAACTGCTAATTCTCATTTAAAGACTGTTCTAGATCTGATTTATTTTTGCAGCATAGCACCTGGTCCATAAAAGGTCTTCTAGACATGTTTGCTGAAAAGCTGAAGAGGTTAGGAATCTTCCTACTCTCTTCTCTTAGATATAAGATATATCTAGATACAAGAATGATGGCAGAATTGAAGGAACAGAATGCAGAGTATTATTTTTGTTCCAATTACAGGTGGACTGCACCAAATACAACATAACAAGTGATGGGATTGCGTGCACAAAGGAATGGGCACCAATATGTGGCATGGATCTGAAAACTTACGGGAATGAATGCATGTTTTGTTTCCTAAATAGGTAAGTATAATACTCAATTTGGAGCCCAGTTTTGTTTTGCTTTACAATCACAAAAGTAACATTGGCCAAAATCTGCTTGGCTTTTGAAAACATGGTTTGACATCTTACTTTTTGTCATGTTCCTCTACTACTCTGTAGACATTGCTTTGTTTAAAAAAAAAAAAAAAACTAGCTATATTAGGAATATATATTGTGTATATTTCTTTGTTATCCAGCAAAATTCTCATGTATACTATATTACACAATATCCCTCCAGCATTAGCTATCACATATAGACATTTTTATTCCCATATTACATTTAAGGAAACCTGGGTCTCAGGCAGGAAACATGTTCTTGGTCAAACTTTCATAAATCTCTTGTGTTATATCTTTCTTATCAGTTAATGGAAACTCAGAAGAGAGCTGTTGCTATTTGGGCTGTAAGCCATGGACACTATTATAACACTTTGATCTACCCTTCACACCCCAGAGGAAAATCATGTTGCTTCTCTGATTGTCTGGAAAAGTCTAGGGAAGAGAATGGAAGTATAAACAGATAGTTGGAATTAGTTGGAATCCTCACCACCACCATCCCCACACATTAAATATTAAGTCCTCACTATAAACAACATCTTCTAGGAGATTTTATAATAATGATTGTTACCAGCCACTCCAGTGACTTGAAGTCACTGCTTTCCTACTAGCAGTTAAAATCATGGACTTTTGTGTCAGACATCTGGATTAGAATCCAGGATATACTTGGTAGATCTGTGACATTAGGCAAATACCCATTCTGCTGTGTACTTCTGTGTTCAGTAAAGCAGAAATTAATAATAGTGTTTAGGATTCATTGTGAGAAAACACATCAAATCTTAACTAAGCAGCTAACACAGAGTGAATACTCAAAGAAATGAGCTCTTCTTCCTTTTAATCGTTTTCCTCCTCCTTTTCTAGCCTTTCTGAAAATTCATAGTCAAATATAATAGCAAGTGTTATTCAAATAAAACCCCTCAGAATATACAATACCAGATACTAAACACTGAGATGGGATTGATTATATTATCTCATATCTTTTTAGAAGGAAGAAATCTAATACTCAGAAAGGAGAAATGACTATAGCAAAATTACACAGACTATAAGTGCCAGTTATGGATATGTGAATATTTTCTTTTAAAACTGCAAAAATATCCACACACTTTATTATACCTTTGATTTCCATCTGAGTATTCATGGACTATTTTAAAAATGCCCAATCTACTCTCCTTTTAGTGTTGATCTAATTTTTTTATATTTTAACTTCTTTGATTAAACAAATGATCATTTACTTGTGATCATTCAAAATGATCATTTATCAAAGATATTAATGGCAAATATTAACTAACTAGGGAAGAATATTAACCAGAACTAGTTAGTTCAGGTCAGACAAGGGAGAATGACATATGCCCATGTTTTACTCTGTAGATTAAGAAATATCAAATTACTGAATTACCCATTCAGTAAAATCTTCTTTTTCAGAAAGAAAGGATCTCAACTCAGGAAACTTCATAATAATGAATGTGTAAGTATACACAAAAATTTTACATATCCTTAATATAAAATGTTTCAACAATTCCTCCCTTTCATCGAGAACAACTATTTTAAGATATTTATTCTAGAAATTATCTATGACGATGAGTAGTCACAGATAACACACTTGGTCAGCCTAAACAGAAAATCTGAAATATAATTTATTTACCCAGAGGAAGACTCCAGAAACTTTATTCATACTCCTTAACTGAGGCAGACTGACATACATGTGGTTATTTTCTAATGCTGCAACTAATTAGCAGGTTAAGAAGAGAATATTAGGGACTTAAGAACACTCTCATAACGGTTTAAAAAAAACAGTTATTTAAACAAGCAGAGGCCAACACAATACTGTAAAGCAATCATACTCCAATTAAGAAAAAAGAGGAGGGGAAGCATGAAAAAATTCAAGAACACAAATGTAGAGATAATTTAGGGGCAAAGAGCTATGTGAGTGGAAAGTCAATCATTTTAATAGAGCTTGAAATGTGATATAAGAGGAATGCAAACATGAGGTTGTGGTAGTAAAGACAGTTCAGAGAAGCTCTCATTTTAAGAAGGGGCACCTAACCCATTGTGACTAGTGAGGGAAAGAAATGTCGCCACAGAACCTTTACAAAAGTAACCAGACACTTAAATGAGGAGGAGGAGTCGGTCTGATGGATCAAGTGGGTAAGGAAATGCAAAGTGAGATAAATACAAGAAGCAAAGGCACAGGGCTGTACAGAGGCGGCAACTCTGGGAATGCAATCCTTAATTCAGCCGGGAAAAAAGGCAGGGTAGATGAGGCTAGAAAGATAGGCATGGGTCATGAGGGGGCTTTCTGTTGACAGAGTCCGTTGAATATTTGAACAAGATCAGATTTGGTTTCTCAAAAAAAAAAAAAATTCACATCAGTGTGGAACATCAGGTAAGCCTAGGGTTTGTGTGATAAACTGGCAGGTAGTAACTGTGATAGCAAGATGCAGTGAGGGCCTGAATTAAGTGGATGCCAGCACAGTTCAGCAATTAAGAACCAGATAGGATCCACAGGATGGGTTCTGTTCATCCGCTACACTGAAGAACGAGAGGGCAGCCTTGAACTTGGGCTGAACAATCCCCTGCTGTGATGGTATTCTCACCACTGTTGGGTCAGGTTATGTAAACTGCAGAAAATACACCTTTCTCCACGTGGGATTCTGAACTAATGATCCCCTCAAGGCTTTAAAAAAGTTTCTTTTCTAGGATTTAATGTTTTGATTTTTTTTTTTTTTTGAACAGAGGGAGGTTGAGTGCACCACATATTCAGAAATATGCACCATGGAATACATGCCTCACTGTGGATCTGATGGGACAGTATACGGCAACAGATGTTCATTTTGCAATGCTGTTGTGTAAGTCTTCATTCAGTATTTTATTTGTAGAAAGAGCCCCTTACACAGAACCAGAAACCGTCTTAGCTACATAAGCCAGATGCTGCTATGAAGCCTAAGAGATGGCTGGCTGAAAATCATAGTCTTTTACAAAAAGAAGGAAACAGAGAGAAAATGAGAGAAAAAGAACATGCTTAAGAATAAGAATTGAAGTGAGGGAAAGAGACACTTGATCATCATCATCATATTATTCAGTGGCAGATAAAAGAGAAACTTACAGTGTTTGGCTCCTAACACTGGCTTTTACTGGTACATTGAATTCCCTTTTTTTCACCATGCTGAAGCTTGGTAATTAACTGCTCAGTTTCATGTTTCATATTCATCTGGCTGGCTTGATCTAAGATGATGCAACTTTCAATTTGAGATTTCCAAAGCCCCCTTTTAAAAGTATGATTTCTCTTGTAGGATGAGCCGTGGCACACTTTATTTTGTAAAATATGGACCATGCTCTGAGTCTCCCTGATGTTCGAGGGCACCAAGTTTCCTTTGGCAGCGAACCAGTTTCTCTAGGATGGCTATGGGGACAAGTATATGGAACTTGATTCTTCAATAAAAGATTCTCAGCAGAAAAATTGTCAGGCTTATCTCTGTGGTAGAATACGTAGATATTCTCGTATCTATGGTCCTTTCCCTAAACTATAAGTCATACAGAAATATTTCCTCTATTTCTACTCAAGTTGAAAGCTAGAAAAATTATACACACAATGGTGAAAAAAGAATCTGCTCTCAGCATCCCATTTAAAAAAATTTTTTTTAAGTAAACACAGATCAAAGTGTGCCTCTGACCATTACTATTACATTACCTTTAGCTACACCAATGAAAAGTGGAAAATCCAGATTTGGAGAAAGATAGAGTGAGAATCCTTAACACTATAAATGAATCAGAACATGCTAGGAATAACATAACAAGAAATGGCAACCCACTCCAGTACTCTTGCCTGGAAAACACCATGGACAGAGGAGCCTGGTAGGCTACAGTCCATGGGGTCGCAAAGAGTCGGAAACGACTGAGCACCAAAGTTTTTAAGTTTGTTAGGTATCACCATTTAAACAGAATTCAGTCACATGTGGGCATCTGCAAAGGAAGGTATCTTATGGTTCATGTTGGGGAAGAGATTTAATATATATACAAATGGTGAAGTCCCTAACAAAGCCTGAGAAATATGAGGCTATGTGCTGGACTCTCAGGAAGTAGAGATGTGAGAACTTTCTCATGGCTGTGTCTCCACAGAGAGTACTCAGCTGAATACAGTGTGCAGAGATAAATAGTCAACTTGGTAAAGAATTGTCTAATAGCAAGTCTGCAGATAGTCACACAGTGATGCCCCATAAATTCATGTTTCCAAAGCACAATGTATTTTTAGCAAAGAGTGGTTAAATGCTTTCCAGCTATGCTGTAAATATTTTTGTGACTTTTCTAACAACACAGATAGAAAGGTCACTAGAGGTCAAGCGATGCATTTTGTGGGGAGAGGGAATACAATGAGGCAAAGGGAAGCATGCATGGCATTAAGGAATTCGTAGGCTAGTCAAAGAGACAGACTTTGTAAAGAGCTGATTACTAAATATAAAAACAGTATACTTCAGAATTAATAAAATTCCAGTAAGAACTAAAGGGGTGGGGGACAGTCTTAGTCACACAGTGAGCTTGTATATTAGTATGCCCAGGCTGCCATAACAAAATACAGATCTCCCTTCACTTAGGATGGGGTTACATCCTGATAAACCCATCATAAATTGGAAATGTCATACACTGAAAATATACCTTATCTACCAGCCTCACCTACCTTAAATGTGCTCAGAATACTTATATTAGCTAACAGTTGGGGAAAGTCATATAACACAAAGCTTATTTTATAATAAGGTATTGAATATCCTTCTCCTGGTGGCTCAGAAATTAAGAATCCACATGCCAATGCAAGAGACGCAGGTTCGATCCCTGGGTCGGGAAGATCCCTTTGAGAAGGAAATGACAACCTACTCTAGTATTCTTGCCTGGGAAATCCCATGGACATAGAGGCCTGCTGGGCTACACTCCATAGGACTGCAGAGTCAGACATGACTTAGTGACTAAACAACAGCACTGAAAATCTCCTGTATTTTACTGAATACTGGAAAAGTGACAAACAGAATGGTTGTGTAGGTACAAAATGGTTGTCAGCATGTGGACTGTTTACCCTGGTGATTGGCTGGCTGGCTGAACAGGCAATGTAGCTCATGCCCAGCATCACAAGAAAATACTATACTACTTATCACTAGCTCAGGAAAATATAAAAGTTCAAAGTAAAGCTTCTACTAAATGTGTATTGCTTTCACATCACCATAAAGTCAAAAAATTGTTAAGAAACTGTCTATAGCAGAGATTGGGTGGCTTACACAATAGGAATTTATATTCTCACAGTTCTAGAAACGGGGAAGTCCAAGATTAAGGCACAGAAGATTTGGTGTCAGGTAAGAGCCCACTTCCAGGTCCACAGGCTACTGTCTTCTTGCTGTGTCCTCTCGTGGTGGAAGGGGTAAGGGTGTGTTCTTTAGACTCTGTTTCATCAGGCCTCTAATTCCATTCATGAGGGCTGTGCCTTCATGACCTAATCATCCCCCAACAGTTCTACTTCCTAACACCATCACACTAAGGATAGGCTTCAACATATGAATTTGGAGCTGGCGAGGGGGGCAGGGGCAGACACATTCAGGCAGTAACACATGGGAGACTTAAAGGTTGATGGCCATTCTAGCTCATGACTGGAATGCTGAGTACATGGGAGTTGACCCTATAATAATAAGTAATTGACCTATCTGAAAACAGCAATAAGACAAAGTCTACATATTGTAGGCTCCTGGGTGGCGGATCAGCCCCAGGGAAGCCAGCAGCAATGGTCAGGCCAGGGAACCCTCTGTTCCTGGGCATCCTCCAACATCAATCGGCTTCAGCCAACAATACCAGCAGGGCCTTTGCCCTGGACCCTGGGCCGCACATTGACTAACACCTGGTGGCTGGTGAAGCATTACAGACTCAAGAGGACCTGCAGTGGGAGAAACAGGGCACTGGGCCATGTATTCCACCTCAGTGAAACAGCTGAAGGGCATGTCCCTGGTAGTCAGGTCCTGACAAAACGTGGTCTACTAGAGAAGGGAAAGGCAAACCACTTCAGTGTTCTTGCCTTGAGAACCCCATGAAGAGTATGAAAAGGCAAAAAGATAGGACACTGAAAGATGAGTCTCCCAGGTCAGTAGGTGTCCAATACACTACTGGGGAAGAGAGTAAAGATAGCTCCAGAAGCAATGAAGAGGCTGAGCCAAAGCAGAAAGGACACCCAGGTGTGGATGGATCAGGTGGTGAAAGTAAAGTCCGATGCTGTAAAGAACAATATTGCAATAAGAACCTGGAATGTTAGGTCCATGAATCAAGGTAAATTGGATGTGATCAAATAGGAGATGGCAAGAGTGAACATCAACATTTTAGGAAACAGTGAACTAAAATGGATGGGAATGGGTGAATGTAATTCAGATGACCATTATATCTACTACTGTGGGCAAGAATCCCTTAGAAGAAATGGGTGCAGTCTCAAAAACCACAGAATGATATCCGTTTGTTTCAAAGGCAAACCATTCAACACCACAGTAATCCAAGTCTATGCCCCAACCATTAATGCCAAAGAAGCTGAAGCTGAACGGTTCTGTGAAGACCTATAAGACCTTCTAGTACTAATACCAAAAAATGATGTCCTTTTCATCACAGAGACTGGAATGCAAAAGTCCCTACAGGGGACTGGAATGCAAATGCAAGACCTGTTACCTGGAGTAACAGGTAAGTTTGGCCTTGGAGTACACAACGGAGCAGGAAAAGGTTAACAGAGTTTTGCCAAGAGAACGCACTGGTCATAGCAAACATTTTCTTCCAACAACAGAAGAGATGACTCTACACATAGACATTACCAGATGGTCAATACTGAAATCAGATCAATTATACTCTTTGCTGCCCAAGCTGCAGAAGCTCTATTCAGTCAGCAAAAACAAGGCCTTGAGCTGACTGTGGCTCAGACCATCAGCTTCTTATTGCAAAATTCAGGCTCAAATTGATGAAAGTAGGGAAAACCACTAGGCCATTCAGGTATCAGTTCAGTTCAGTCACTCAGTCACATCCGACTCTTTGTGACCCCATGGACTACAGCACATCAGGCTTCCCTGTCCATCACCAAGTCCCAGAGCTTACTCAAATTCATGTCCATTGAGTCAGTGATGCCATCCAACCATCTCATCCTCTGTTGTCCCTTTCTCCTCCCACCTTCAATCTTTCCCAGCATCAAACCCCTTATGATTATACAGTGGAGGTGATGAATAGATTCAAGGGATTAGATCTGATAGAGTCCCTGAAGAACTATGGACAAAGGTTTGTAACACTGTACAAGAGGTGATGAACAAAACCATCCCCAAGAAAAAGAAATGCAAGAAGGTGAAGTGGTTGTCTGAGGAGGCCTGACAAATAGCTGAGAAGAGAAGAGAAGCAAAAGACAAAGGAGAAAGGGAAAGACATACCCAACTGAATGCAATGTTCCAAACTAGAGTGAGGGGAGATAAGAAAGTCTTCTTAAGTGAACAATGCAAAGAAATAGAGAAAAACAATAGGATGGGAAAGACTAGAGATCTCTTCAAGGAAATTAAGAGACACGAAGGGAACATTTCATGCAAAGATGGGGACAATAAGGGGTTCCTTTGTGACTCAGTTGGTAAAGAATCCGATGCAATGTGGGAGACCTGGGTCCAATCCCTGGGTTGGGAAGATTCCCTGGAGAAGGGAAAGGCTACCCATCCTAGTATTCTGTCCTGGAGAATTTCGGGACTGTATAGTCCATACAGTCCATGGGGTGTCAAAGAGTCAGACACGACTGAGTGACTTCCACTTGGCAGTTGGGCACAATAAAGACAGAAATGGGAAGGAGCTAATAGAAGCAGAAGAAATTAAGAAGAGGTGGCAAGAATACACAGGACTGTACAAAAAGTTCTTAACAAACTAAAAAAACAACAACAACAACAAACACATACAAAACTTTCCTTTCTACTTAATGACCCAGATAACCACGATGGTATGGTCACTCACCTAGAGCCAGACATTCTGGAGTGTGAAGTCAAGTGGGCCTTAGGAAGCATCACTATGCACAAAGCTAGAAGAGATGATGGAATTCCAGTTGAACTATTTCAAATTCTAAAAGATGATTCTGTGAAAGTGCTGCACTCAATATGCCAGCAAATCTGGAAAACTCAGCAGTGGCCACAGGACTGGAAAAGGTCAGTTCCCATTCCAATCCCAAAGAAAGGCAATACCAAAGAATGTTCAAACTATTGCACAATTGCACTCATTTCACATGCTCAAAATTCTCCAAGCTAGGCTTCACCAGTACATGAACTGAGAACTTCCAGATTGGATTTAGAAAAGGCAGGGGATCCAAAGGTCAAATTACTAACATAAGTTGGATCATAGAACAAACATGGGAATTCCAAAAAAAAGTCTGCTTCATTGACTATGCTAAAGCCTTTGACTGTGTGGATCACAACAAACTCTGGAATATTCTAA